ACTTTGGGTAGGGTGGTCAGGGAGGTGACCCTGAAGGAAGTGACACCTCAACTGAGAAGGGACCAGCACAGCAGAAGCCACCTGAAGAGTTCACTGCTACATGTGTATCCAGGACAAGGGTCTGGGGCACAGGGAAGATGCCTGATACGTATTTGTTAAATTAATACTCGGGTTAAGGAAGGAAAAAGCTGCTAAAACAGGAGCCTAACTCTCAAGGGGTCCCAGCCAGAGGCTGGCTCTTCAGGGAGCCATTCTCAACAGACTGAGCTGATAAATGGGGCAGGGACGCCTGTCTGGCCAACAGCAGGGCCCTGTGGAAAGTCTGCAGCTGCAGAGTTAGCAGAGAGCCACGGCTGTGGTCTTGGGCCTGTTTCCCCATCTGTCAAATGAGGTTAGTGCTTTGCTACCTCAGCCTCTGAAGTGAGCTCCAGATGATACAGTGCTTTGAATAAACAAGCCACGTGCGAGCGTGAGGGGCTGTCATGCTCCAGGAGGTCCTCGTGCCAGCCCAGCAGCACCTCCCTGTAACACTGGGACCCGTGAGCTTCAGACAAGCTGCTTTGTCTCGGGAAGGTTCCCGTGCTCTGCTGCTCAGCCCACAGGAGGTGTTACCTCAGCTCCTGCCTTCCTGCCCGCACGCACTTTCCAGGTTCACTTACCGTGTACGGGCCTGTGCTAACAGAGATAAGAGATGGGTCCCTGTCCTTGAGAAAGTCACAGGGAGTCCAGAGAGTCGGATGAGCAAACAGGATGATACCCTGTGGGACCTGAGGGAGGGGACACCCGAGCTGCTGCTGAGGCCGTCAACAGCCACCACTGGGGGGAACAGTGGAGGCATTGTAGGTTTCCTACCTTGTTTCCTTTTGCCGTCACAGTTTTGGGAGGTTATCTCCATTTCATAGATTGGGGTCAGAAGCTGTCATCTGTCAAGGTCACAGAGCCTGGACTCGCACCTGGGCCGGGGTGACTCAAGTCCTTGCCCACGGGCACATTACCATACCGGTGTGTGTGTGCTGGCAGTGGGGGAGGCAGGGAGACGGGAAGAGCCTATTGTAGAGGTGACAGCGTGCTCTTCATTTAGCGTCTGGGGCCAAGGGGTAATGGTAGGCAGTGAGGCTGGCACAAGGCCCAGGTGGACTGTGGCTTTCTTGTGAAGAAGCTGATGTGAGCAAATCCACAAATCCAGCCGCAAGGGAAAATTTCTCTGGGCCTTCTGCACAGGTCATCCCCCTGCCCCAAGCCAGCCAGCCCCTCAGAGGACATTCAGCAAGGGCATCCCGTGTCCTGCAGCCAGAGGGCCACATGGGAAACCTAACTCCTGCCAGCTTCCAGCTGCTCTGACTGGGACCATGCCCAGGTGTCACTGTCACCCTGGTCTGCTGTGGAGGGTTCCAGGCAAGGGTTCACTCTCCCTGGAGACCCAGTTCAGCTCTTGCTGAGCAGTGGCCGTTGTGGGGCAGGAAGAGCTGAGCTGGGCCTGGCTGCTGGTAGAGCGAATTCTAAGGAATTTGCAGATGGAATTATGGTTACTAACAGGCTGACCTTAAAACAGAGAGGTGATCCTGGGTTAGCTGAGTAACCCAAAGTAATCACAGGAGCCCTTAAAGCAAGGCAGGCAGAAGAGAGACTCCAAACATAAGATGGGTTTGAAGGAGGCCACAGGTCAGGAAATATGGGGGGCTGAGAATGAACCCCGAGGCCCATGGCGGGCAAGGAGACAGGAACTTCAGTCCCACAACTCGATGGAACTGCATCCTGCCAACACAGAGCGCGAATGCAGGTTCACCACCCAGTGCCCACACCCAGATCTTGGCCTTGTGACTCAAGCGGAGCACCAGCAGGGCATGTGATGCTGCCTTCTGACTCTCAGTTCATGGGGGACAGTAACTGGGTGCTGCTTTGAACCGCTACATCTGTGGCAATTGGTTACCGAGGTAGTAACTCATCAGTGAGCTATCGGAAGAAAGATCACCTGGGCTGCAGAGTGGAGGGAACAGGACCTAGGATGCTGGCGGTGAAAGGACACGGTTCCGCCGTCGGTGGTACGCTGGCCACAGGAGCATCTCCTCTGGGACAGGAGCATCGCAGTCATGAGTAGTGTTGAATGCATTCCTTCACTCAATCATTCAGCCAGTCTCTCAAACATATCTTAATATAAGTGCTAACTGGGTGTCTAGAGCTCAAATCGCATCAAAGGACAGAAGGCCAAACAGATGATACCCAGTGAAATGAGTCCTAGGATAGGAACAAGGTCCCCACCCCTACCCCACCGCTGACACCCAGATGCTGTGGGAGGTAAAAGAAGGGTCACTGGTCCACCAGGGGTCGAGAAGGTTTCTCAGAGCTTGAAGCCCTGTCCTGGGTCTTGGTGCTCAGGAAGGAGAGAGAAGCCATGTCAGGGTAGGCCACACTCACGGGGTAGCAGCAGACTGGCTGGGCTGGTGCATGGACCATAAGGGCCCTGGCCACCAGGTGTGCCGGGATCAGCTCAGACAGGAAAGTTGGGACCGAGGATGCCAAGCAGGGGAGAGAGGCTGGGGTGGAGACACATCCCAGGACTTCCCCATCCTTTAGGATAGTGACCTTCAAACCATGTCAGCCCTGCCCTCTGGGGCCACATGCCCCCACACACCCTGACTGGGGAATAGCGGCCCACACCGGTGGCCTGGAGCACCGCACCCACACACACCGTCTGTAAGCGAATGAATTCACACTTTGGTTTGTGTACCAGCCTCGGGGACTGCTGTGCCACCAGCACCTGGCACATCGCAAACACTCCATGTTAGCTTTACAGGTAAATAAAAGACACAAAGGCAGGTCCCTGAGAGACTGGCCGCATCAGGGAAAACAGGGAAGGAAGGGTGTCTGCCCACAACAGGATCAGGGAGGGGTCAAGGCCTGCAGGCCAAAGGAAGCCAGCTGGGGACAGATGGCAGACAGCATCCCTGACCCTGTGGCAAAAGCCTGGAAGCTGGCTCTGCCCTCCCTCAGGAGCTGGGCAGCAGAGCCACCGCTGCACCATGACAGGACACCTCGATACCCCCTTGGATGGAAAGGGTGCACTTGTTCTGAATGAGAAGCTCAAGGTGGGAAAATATGCTCCGAGCTTCGTTTTCGCCACAAAGCTGGCAGCAGAGGCCCTGCGTTCATCTGACTACTTAGGAAATTGGGAAGGACTTCTGACTGTTCTCGCAGGGTCCAGAGGACCTGACTGCCACCAGCTCCGGGGGGGGGGGGGGGGGGGGCGCTGCCGGCAGCACCTCCCCTCCACGGGCTCTGCTTTCCTAGTGTGGTCATACTACTTGCATGCCTCTAAATGCAAAGTGCAAAGTCCCATGTATTGATTCATCTAATCCTCAAAACAATCCCGTGTGCTTTCCCAAGCCCATTTCACAGATGAAGAGGTTGGACTGGTGAGGGGGTTTTCCACTGTTACAAATTTTTAGTTGACAAATCCTTCTTGGAAGAAAAGAGTACAAAAAAGACCAATGTGTAAAACAGATTGGAGCAACTCTGTTCAGGGGAGGAGCGGAGGGAGATAAGGCTCCCCAGAAACAAGAGTCTCTGCAGACACATCTATGTCTGAGCCTGAGGGCTGGTGAAGCTCACTCAGCTGGACTCCCTTCCCCAGGACCACAGATTGCCTGCGGGTAAAGTGAAGTTGTGGAGAGCGCCTCGGGTCTGGGACTGTCCGCCCCACACCCTGGATGCCCTGCTCATGCCCGCCTGGGGCAGGGCTGTGAGGGTGCAGGAGGGCCACTCCGCGGAGGCCCGGACAGGTGATGCATTCCTCTGATGGCCTGTCCTACTTCAGAGCCCAGGACCTACAACATCCCACACCCACTTCAGGAAACAGGACTAGGAGAGACTGGGGAGAGCAGGAAGGAGGGCAGCCAGGGCTCTGCTGAGCAGTGGGACAGCGGGGAAGACAGGTAGAAATCCTCCAGAATCTGCCCAGCTGGCCAGAGGGCGAAAAGGCGCCCCAAATCACAGACCCGCTGCAGCCTTGCTCTTAGACACCACCCAGGTCTGTCCTCCAACTTCACAGACCAGGAAACTGAGGCCCAGAGAGAAACAGGTGAATTTGCCTAGTTTTCTCAGCTGATGTGCGCCAGGGCCTGGGCAAGAACCCACATTTCTTGACCTCTGGTCCACTACCCTTTTCCAAAGGAAAAGGGAAACATTGTCCTGCGAGAATAACACGGAGACAGGGCCAAATAAGTCAAAATGAGGACAGACACGTGAAGGTAGGAGCCCTGTATCTGCGACGCGATTCTCTGCTAATCTGCCCATTCTCTGCTAACCTGGATTCTCTGCTAACCTGCCGGGTGACCTGGGGCAGGAAGCAACCCCCAACCCCGGTCTGGATCCAGTTTCCTCCCCTGCTCCGCAGGACGCTGTCCAGGGGCCAAGTGGCGTCTAACACCCTCACCAGTACCTTCCACTCTGGAGTGAGAGGGACAGGTACAAGAGCGAACACCCTTCCCAGCACCCTCCACTCTGGAGTGGGAGGGACAGGTACAAGAGCGCCGCTGCCGCCTGGGATCTCCGCACAGCCACTTCGCAGGCAGCCTGAGAAACGTCCGTTGCTCCGCCAGGCGGAGTTCTGCCCCGCGAGTCTTCATCCCAAGCAAGGCTCCCCCACCTCGTGCACTGGGTCTACGCGCGGGCCTTTTCCTTTGAGCCGCCGCCGCCCCTGCGCCGGCCCCCACAGGTCTGTGCTTATGCGTATCTGCCTTGCATACCTGCACCCGCTCCCTCGCTCGCAAACTCCCGCACTAGCCCGGCCACCCGCCTCTGCTCGCGCACGCGCCGTTCCCCCACGCCGCGCGCAGGGTGCTGGAGCCTCACCGCGGGAGCACTAGCCCGGGGCGGACTCTCAGGGAGCAGCGCAGAGCGCGGGGAGGGGAGGATCCCGGCAGAGGGGAGAAGGATGCCAACGCCCAGGCTCCGCCCTCTCCGCCCGGCCCCGCCCCCGCAGGGCCCGCCCAGGCCGGCAGGGAGGATGTGAGCTCACTCCCGCCTCCATGTTCCTGGAGTCGCCTGAACGCGTCCGCCCGAGGTCGCGGGACGCTTGGGGAGTCAGCAGCGCGCCAGGCCCCTCCGGGCGCCACACGCATTAGGTGCCTTCTTGATGGGTACGGAATGAAGGCGGGCGGTGGCTGGACCGAGGCAGCTCCCGGTTCGTAGCCGCCGCGCCGTCCGTGCCCGCGCACGCCACACCCCAGCGCGCTTCCGGCCGGGCCACGTGATCGCGCGCGCACGTGTTCCGGCCTCTCTGCGTCGCCGTTCGGAGCCTCCTGCTGGTCGCCCCGGCATTGGTCCACCGGGAGCCGGCTTGGGCCGGGCCTGGGAGGCGGCGACTAGGGGAGCCGCGGAGACGCGGGCGCTGAGCGTCGCGGGGGAGTAGGCCCGGGCCGGCAAGCGGCGGCCTCCGCCATGAACCCCAGGGGCCTGTTCCAGGACTTCAACCCCAGTAAGTTCCTCATCTATACCTGCCTGCTGCTCTTCTCGGTGCTGCTGCCCCTCCGCCTGGACAGCATCATCCAGTGGAGCTACTGGGCCATCTTTGCCCCCATATGGTTGTGGAAGCTTCTAGTCGTCGCAGGCGCATCGGTGGGCGCGGGCGTTTGGGCCCGCAACCCTCGCTACCGCACTGAGGGCGAGGCCTGCGTGGAGTTCAAAGCCATGCTGATCGCTGTGGGCATCCACCTGCTGCTGCTCATGTTCGAAGTCCTGGTCTGCGACAGGGTGGAGAGGGGCACCCACTTCTGGCTGCTGGTCTTCATGCCTCTCTTCTTCGTGTCCCCCGTGTCTGTGGCTGCCTGCGTCTGGGGCTTTCGACACGATAGATCGCTGGAGCTGGAGATCCTGTGCTCGGTCAACATCCTGCAGTTCATCTTCATCGCCCTAAAGCTGGACAGGATTATTCACTGGCCGTGGCTGGTGGTGTTTGTGCCCCTGTGGATCCTCATGTCGTTCCTTTGCCTGGTTGTCCTCTATTACATCGTCTGGTCCCTCCTGTTCCTGCGGTCCCTGGATGTGGTTGCTGAGCAACGAAGAACACATGTGACCATGGCCATCAGCTGGATAACGATTGTCGTGCCCCTGCTCACTTTTGAGGTCCTGCTGGTGCACAGATTGGATGGGCACAATACATTCTCCTACATCTCCATATTTGTCCCCCTTTGGCTTTCATTACTAACTTTAATGGCCACAACATTTAGGCGAAAGGGGGGCAATCACTGGTGGTTTGGCATTCGCAGAGACTTCTGTCAGTTTCTGCTTGAAATTTTCCCATTTTTAAGAGAGTATGGGAACATTTCATATGATCTCCATCACGAAGATAGTGAAGATGCTGAAGAAACATCAGTTCCAGAAGCTCCGAAAATTGCTCCAATATTTGGAAAGAAGGCCAGAGTAGTTATAACCCAGAGCCCTGGGAAATACGTTCCCCCGCCTCCCAAGTTAAATATTGATATGCCAGATTAAACTCCTAGAGAGGACCCAGGCACACACGTACTCCACCTTGCCTTTACCTCTTGTTCATTCATCCCAAACCTGGAAATGGAAACAGCCTTCAAACACTGTCGTCTCACACCCTGTTTGAGATCACCGCCTCATCAGTATGCATCATAGATGGAGGTGGTTTTAGTATGTGGGTGTGTGTGGTGTGTACCTGGGTAAGAGACTTGCTTTCCAGTTTCGCACTTTCAGGTGTAACCGGGGGTAGTAAGTTGGATTGTTTTAGTAGGTCCTCGAAAGGAATAACTACACAGCTGTTTGTTTAAAGTGCTACTGTACCTATCAAAAGTATTGTTTAAAAAGTATTTTTATACACTGCTAATCTAAAATTGTATTTCAGATTGTGCCTGTTATGACATAGTAGCAAATGTAAAGAATTCTCTTTCCCACCACTTGTTTATAAACCTCATAGTTGATATTTTTAGTGTTCCTACTGTTAAAATACCTTCTCCTTGGGCTTCGCTGATACTGGTCTTTAATATTCTGATAGGTGAATTTTTCTAATGGAATGAACCCATGCATATGTAGTATTTATATGAATATTTTAGCAGTGTAATGTTGAATTCTAGTTCTCTGCAGTACAATGTATTATGTTCATATTTTTTAAAGCTTACATGTGAAGATATGTGTCTATTGCAGATGTCTTTAAAGACTGCATAAAACAATATGTGCCTGGTGTGGATCTTACCAAAGTACTAGGCATGAATATAGGGATTGCAAATCCCATGGGTCTTAATATTGAGGTGTTAGTAACTGAGGTCTCTGGTAGTACCCGTTAGTAGAGGAAGAGACCGCTGCCCTTGGGAGCTTGTGACATGCTCCAGTGTGGTGCCAGGCCATAAAGTGGCATAGTTACTTTGTTTAGCGCCAAGTTGTTTAGTACCTTGCATTTTTCCACACAGGTAGTAACTGGAAATAAGCAACAAGTGGTTTGTCCATTTCTAATAATCTTAAACTGTTAGTTGGCTGTAGTGTGAAGCATTACTTGTCATTGGAAAGATGGAGAGAGTGACCTTAACCAGAAGTGGCCAACAGAAGCAGGTATCATTTTAAGGTCCAAACTTTCATCTGTCAGCAGTAGGGAAACAACAGTTCAAATTTGCTTTGTAGATGAGTACAGTGTTTCTTTTTGTTTTTGTTTTTTTTGAGACAGAGTTTCACTCTTGTTGCCCAGGCTGGAGTGCAATGGCACGATCTCTGCTCACCACAGCCTCTGTCTCCCGGGTGCAAGCGATTCTCCTGCTTCAGCCTCCTGAGTAGCTGGGATTACTGGCATGTGCCACCACGCCTGGCTAATTTTGTATTTTTAATAGAGACAGGGTTTCTCCATGTTGGTCAGGCTGGTCCCGAACTCCTGACTTGAGGTGATCTGCCCGCCTTGGCCTCCCAAAGTGCTGGGATTACAGGCAGGAGCCACTGCACCTGGCAAGTACAATGTTTCTTTAGGTGCTGGTGGTACACCAGGGAATCAGGGCAGAAGCCGGATCCTGCAAGAGTAATGTTCGTCTGAGAACAAATAAATACTTTCGAAAGGAGGTTAAAATAAAAAGGAGTGTTGGTGTTATTACTGTGGAGAAGACTGGATGGAGTCCACTTTTCTTATTAGTAACTTACTAAAAATGATCTAAACTGGACTCCACACTCTTTGCCTTGACCATGAGGCAAACTTGTTGGGTTTGGAGAAAAAAACGTAACCCTAAATTTACTATTTTTGCCCTATATAAAGCATTAAAATAACATGCTCTGCACACATGCTCTCAACAAAACCCAGAATGCCTGAGGGAGCTACAGCTCGGCTTAGTTGGCTGGGACTGAGCTCGCTCGCTCTCTCACACACTGGCAGTTTATACCAGCCGGCAGCCCTGAGCAGCAGTGGATGTAACTTTTTATAAATAAGGATTCATTCATTCATTTTCTCAGTATTTCTTGAAGACCTACCCCAAGCTAAGCATGGTGCTAGGCAGTGGGTGTGCAGTGGAGAGCAAGCGGCCCTGCCCTTGCAAAGTGGCCTGTACAGTGAGAAGTGTGAGCCGCACCCACAGAGGGAAAGGGCCCAGTGCAGCTTTTGCAAAATGCAGGGAAGGATGCTGCTAGCCTCAGGGTGACCTAGAACTTTAAGCCCATCTTTGTGTTCAGGAGCCCGGTGCCTCCCCTCCACCCCTAAAGAATACCTCAAAGACATGGATTTTCATTTCAGTAAGATTTAGAGGTGCATGGGCAGGCAGTGCTGGAGGAATTGGGAGGCAGGTTTAGGGGTTGCAGTGGGACCACTGGCCCCTCCTGGCTAGTTGCAGGCCAGGAGCTTGTTGGTACCTGGTGCAAACTCCCCAACCTGAGGAGTCCCCCACAACCCCCCAGCCCATCTTAAGCTCTTCCCCCTAGCTGTCTGGTATTGGAGAGCCAACGTCTGGTATGGAAACAAGCTTTCTCACCAGGTAGGCCATCCGCTGTCGTGACCATTAGGTTAAAAACAAGTGACAGGTTGTAGGAAGTCGTTTGGTCTGTGAGGTTGAGAGCAGTTCAGCAGTGCCTGGGGATTTACCTAACTGCCATGAAACACTGATTATCCAGCGTTCAGTGTGTGTCAAGTTCTGTAACTATTTCTCCTGTGATATACCACTCAGCTTTTGCTGCAAATCAACATCAGAAATCTCGGTGGTCTACAACTGCAGATTTCCATTCTTGGGTAGTCTGTCAGTTGGCTTCTAGGTTACGCTCCAGGCCAGGGGGTCTGATCAGGTCTGCTCCACAACACATCCCGTATTCTGGGTCCCTGGTCAAAGTAGCAGCTTACCTTGGGCAGTGTTCTTTCTTATGGCAGAAGCACAAGAGGCCAAGCCCTACCCTACAAGCACAAATATAGCCCCTGCTCACTTTCTGTTGGCTGCAACACATGGCCATGCCTGGCCTCTGTGGGGTGAGGCAGTGCATGGCCAAGGAACAAGAACAGTCCACATCGGGGCTGTCACTCCATGACCTCAGTGGTACAAAATGGTTCTCAAGGAATCACAAGGAATTGCTTGCAGATCATCCATGATTTGTTTCCCCTGTGCTTTACAAATACCCTGAAATTTATTTTTATTTATTTATTTTTTTATTGTTTTTTGAGACGGAGTCTCGCCCTGTCGCCCAGGCTGGAGTGCAGTGGCCGGATCTCAGCTCACTGCAAGCTCCGCCTCCCGGGTTTAGCCATTCTCCTGCCTCAGCCTCCTGAGTAGCTGGGACTACAGGCGCCCGCCACTTCGCCCGGCTAGTTTTTTGTATTTTTTAGTAGAGACGGGGTTTCACCGTGTTCACCAGGATGGTCTTGATCTCCTGACCTCGTGATCCGCCCGTCTCGGCCTCCCAAAGTGCTGGGATTACAGGCTTGAGCCACCGCGCCCGGCACCCTGACATTTTTAAAAGCTGTTTCCGTTAGAAGGGATCTGTTGGGGATTTGAGGTGTGATGAGAAAGACCCTGCATTCCAGCCCCTTGGTTAACAGTGGTGAGGCCCGAGTGCTCCACACAGGACAGTTTTAGGAAAGTGCTGGAATCCAAAGCTTCTCCGGAGGGCTATGCAGGGTGCTTTGGAAAGGCTAAGCCTGGGTGCAGAGAGCCCAGCCTTTTAGGTGGAAGCAGCAGACAGTGAGGGAGGCCATCCTGCCCGGCCCTGCCAGGGCCCTGACTCAGTGAAGGAAGCTGTTGGGATACAGGTCACTCAGCCGGGCAGGAAAGATGGGATGAAGCCCAGCAAGTTCACAGGGATCCAGGAAGTTGCATGGCTGGAAACCCTGGAAGGGCTACACCACAGGGACCATTTGCTGGGGATGCTGCAGCTGCCACGGCCACCACCACTGAGAGCATGACACCCACAAAAAGGGAGCCTCCAGCCTCACCCCTGCTGCTGGGAGTACTTCCTCAGCGGTCTGCCATGGGCTCAAGATTAAGTACCAGAAGGGAGGATATGATCGGGCAAACCTCAGATATGTGTTCATTCTGTAGCTTCCAGAACGTTCGAGGAGACAGCATCTGGCTCCTTAGTTTCAAAGAGGAGGAGGAGGCAGGACTCTGCCCAAACTCCCTCGATAAAAGATTTTCCCAAAAGGAAGGGTGTTCAGATGCCAAAGATGAGAAAAGTCCACTATACCACTTTACTTGGCTTTCTGATACACTCTCTTCTTCCCATGCGCACGCCTCAGAAATCAGGCTCCCACCTGACATAACACAACCATGCCTCGTAACAAGACAGTGGTTTATCCCTTCCCTAGGAGGAAAGAGAGGCAATGCCAAGCTGCTTTATCAACTGTTAATACTTCTTCCAGCCCTCAAACCAGGATATCTGCAGGTGTCTCTCCCTCTGGCTTGGTCATGGCTCTCTCTATTCTAGAATGTATGGGTTAAAGTCAGCTGCCATACCATGCCCTCAGAAGTGTGGTCCAAGGACCCCTGGGGTCCTCAAGGTCCTTCCTTTCCCAACCCCACGTGGTTTTCTTCAGCCAGGATACCACATTGCAACGGATGAAGCAGGAATAATACTGTTGGTCATGAGGAATCCAGCAAAGACACTGCTGATTGTTAGGTGCTTAACTGAGTTAATTAGGAAGGGATCATTTTCATTAATAATAGAGTTATGAAGCGAGGTTGTCCTATTGGAGTGAAGAAAATAATAAGGGTACTATAAACAGCTGTTAAGGAGGTGGCAATAAGAGTAATAAGGCTCAGGAAGGCGGAAGCAGCTATGAGGATGCAGCAGCCTTCTGCTAAGCCAGGCTTTAAGGGTCTGCAAAAATGCAAAACGATGCCACTCCTACTGATGATATATATTTTTTGTTTTGGAAAATCTAGGTTTAAATTTTTTTAAGTTAACATGTAATAGATGTATAGTCTTAAAATGGATGAATAAATATTTTTCAGAGTTATTGGCTTTAATTTCTAAGATGCTAAATGTTGACGTAATTCATAAACAAAAGCTCGTTGGGGTCCTCAATCATTTTCAAGAGTGTGAAGGAGTCTTGTGACCAAATCATTTAGAACTGCTATCCTATATTATCATGGGGGAAAGAGAGAATAAATAAAAGTTTAATAAAATCTGTGTTTCAACCTTTAGCCCAACCCCTGAATAGGCTTGAGTGGTGGTGGTGGGGGGGTGTTGAACGATGAATTGTGGCTGAATAAAAACCTAGCATATTGGAGAAGTTAAATATCTGTAATGGGTACTTTAGTTTAAGATTATTAGTTATCAGCTTGAGCTCTATTGCTAGTAAGAGGCCTAAGGTGGTAAAACTTAGGGCTGTGAGCTTTAGGTGAAGTGGTGTAGTTGTTTGGAGGGATGAAACAGGAATAATACTGTTGGTCATGAGGAATCCAGCAAAGATACTGCCCATTGTTAGGTGCTTAATTGAATTAATTAGGAAGGGATTATTTTCATTAATAATAGAGTTATGAAGCCAGGTTGTCCTATTAGAGAAGAAAATAATACAGGTACTATAAACAGCTGTTAAGGCTTAACAGCTTAAGTGTTAACACCTTAACAGCTGTTAAGGAGGTGGCAATAAGAGTAATGAGGCTCAGGTGTTGCTCTATGATGTATTTGCGGTTTCAATGATAAGGTCTTTAGAGTAAAAGCCTGTGAGGAAAGGCGTATCTGTAGGTGCAAGGCTGCCAATAATAAGAGAAGAGGACGTGAAGGGTAAAGTCTTGAATAGTCCTATTTTTCGGATATCTTGTTCATCATTGAGGTTATGGATAATGGAGCCTGAACATATAAATAATATAGCTTTTAAAAAGGCGTGGGTGCAGATGTGAAGGAATGCTAGATGCGGCTAATTAAAACCAGCTGTGACTATCATAAGGCCCTGCTGGCTTCAGGTGGAGAATGCACCTGCGCAGGTGCTGGGCGGGGCCGGCAGCGGGCGTGGTCTTTCCGGGCCCGGGATTGGTGAAGGCTACGGGGCTGACGAGGCGTGGCTGGAGCCCTCCCCAGTCTCCTGCTCTCCCGAGCCTGGCGGCTCGCCAGGATGCTGAGCCCGGAGGTAAGGTGGCTGTCGGGCGTTCCCCGGGCGCTAAAGGGCGGATTGCTGTAAGTAGGGTGGTAATAGCTCCTAGACATAATGTAGAGGTTTAGGATTCATAGGTTATTTTCTATTAAAGGGTAGAAACGGATGAGTAGGAAAACTGCTACAGCTCCAGTGCTGGAGTGGAATAGGGCTGAGGCTGGGGTTGGGCGTTCTATGGCGGATGGGAGTCAGGGATGGAGCCCGAATTCAGCTGACTTTCCTGCTGCTGCTAAGTAATTAATGGAAAGGGGTCGGGGGTACAGTTTAGAATAAATGCGTATTGAAAGTCTCATGTGTTGAAGGATAAGAGAAATCATGCTATAGCTAAAATAAAGCCAATATCGCTGATGCGGTTGTACAGAACTGCTTGGAGGCCTGCTTGGTTAGCGTCTGCTGGGCCGTATCATCAGCCAATTAGAAAGACATTCCTACGAAAGGGCCGGGCGCAGTGGCTCACGCCTGTAATCCCAACACTTTGGGAGGCCGAGGCAGGCGGATCACGAGGTCAGGAG